CGGACCCCAGCAGCAAACTACCTACTGGTCAGAGCATCTGCCCCCTGGTGGTCAGTGCACATCATAGCAAGTGGTTGAGTAGCCTTAGCATATCATTAGCATATTATGCTTTGATTGGCTGAACGGCTGACTGAATGACCAAACACTCAGCACATTAGGCTTTTATTATATAGGACTAGAGGCCAGGTGCACAAAATTGTGTACTCGGGGGGGGGTCCCTCAGCCCGGCCTATGCCCTCTTGCAGTGTGGGACCCCTCAGAGGATGTCCACCTGCTGGCTTAGGCCCGCTCCCTGGGGGATCAGGTCCAAGCTGGCAGTCAGACATCCCTCTGGCAGCCCGAAAGCCCTCAGGGGATGTCCACTTACCAGCAGGGAGCAGACCTAAGCTGCAGTGGACATTCTTAGTGCTGCTGAGGAGGCGGGAGAGGCTCCCGCCACCACCTCTGTGCTGGCAGCCATCAGCCTGGCTTGTGGCTGAGCAGAGCTCCCCCTGTGGGAGCTCACTGACCACAAGGGGACAGCTCCTGCATTGAGCATCTGCCCCCTGGTGGTCAGTGTGTGTCATAGTGACCAGTCATTCCCAGTCGTTCTGCTGTTAGGGTGAATTTGCATATTACCCTTTTATTATATAGGATAGAGGCCTGGTGCACAGGTGGGGGCCGGCTGGTTTGCCCTGAAGGGTGTCCCGGATCAGGGTGGGGGTCCCGCTGGGGTGCCTGGCCAGCCTGGGTGAGGGGCTGATGGGTGTTTGCAGGCTGGTCATACCCCCTTCAGGGTGGGGGTCCCCGCTGGGGTGCCTGGCCAGCCTGGGTGAGGGGCTGAGGGCCGTTTTCAGACTGGCCACACCCCCTTCAGGGTGGGAGTCCCCAATGGGGTGCCTGGCCAGCCTGGGTGAGGGGCTGATGGCTGTTTGCAGGCTGGTCAAGCACCCCCCCCCCCACTGGACCCTCACCCCATGGAGGTTTGACCAGCCTGGGTGAGGGGCTGATGGCTGTTTTCAGGCTGGCCACACACCCATTAGGGTGGGTGGTCCCCACTGGGGTGCCTGGCCAGTCTGGGTGAGGGGCTGAGGGCCATTTTCAGGCTGGCCAAGCCCCCAGGCGACCTAAGCTCCCAGCCTCTCCTTTTTTCTTTTTCTTTTATTCTGGGATTTATTTACCTTCTATAATTGAAACTTTGTAGCCTTGAGTGGAGCTCAGAGCCGGCCGCGGCAGGCAGGAAGCTTGGCTTCCTCCATCACTGGAGCAACCAAGCCTCCTGCTTGCTCCAGCTCTGTGGCTGCCGGCCACCATCTTGGTTGGGTTAATTTGCATATAGTCGCTCTGATTGGCTGGTGGGCATGGCTTAAGGCATAGCGAAGGTACAGTCAGTTTGCATGTTTGTCTTTTATTAGTGTAGATAACTTCCTACTTATTCAAAAATGGGCAATTTTTCATATAGCTACAGAGACCCATATAAATTAAGGCAGTGTCCCAAAACCAGATTAAACAGCTTAGAGTTGTAGCTCTCATGGTTTCTGCATATGAACATGCCTTTCAACAATAATTTTCTGAACTTGCCACAATAACTACTACAGGGTGGGGCAAAAGTAGGTTTACAGTTTTATGTACACAAAACAGTTTATTCTTTTTTTAATTTTATTTCAGAGAGGGAGGGAGAGACAGAAACATCCTATATAATAAAAGCCTAATATGCAAATCGACCAATCAGGGGAATGACCAGTCGCTATGACGAGCACTGACCACCAGGGGCAGACGCTCAATGCAGGAGCTGCCCCCTGGTGGTCATTGCGCTCCCACAGGGGGAGAGCCACTCAGCCAGAGCCGGGCTCATGACTGATGAGCATAGCAGCAGTGGTGGGAGCTTCTCCCACCTCTGTGGCAGTGCTAAGGAGCAGAGAGCTGTGCAGTAAGGGAGCAGAGGGCAGATGAGCAGTAAGGAGTGAGGGGGGTCCTGGACTGTGAGGGGGCGCAGGTCAGGCTAAGAGACCGCCTCTTCCCCCCCCCCCACCCGCCACTCCAGTGCATGAATTTCATGCATCGGACCTCTAGGCAATGATGAAAGAGAATCATTGATCAGCTGCCTCCTGAATGCCCCCAACTGGGGACTGAGCAGGCTGACGCTCTATCCACTGAGTCAAACCAGCTAGGACCAGAGTTTATTCTTGTATTATTATTTATTAATTGTTGTATTATTTTTCTGACAAACAACTGGAAACCAACTTTTTCAACCTGTATACTTAGTATGTGTTGTTTGAAAAATGTCAAATAGCTACTATGAATTCTGCAATAGTATTTACAAATGAAAAATAGCAGTATACGCATGCACATGCAATACAATTATTCGTATGATCTATAGACAATGATGTATATATGAATTCCCAGACCCATACAATACCTAGGAAGACCCCCCGACCCATTGAGACCCACACCCACATCCCACATTGGAAACTACTAGATTAGACTATTTTAATATGATAAGACCACATTCTCCTCCAGAAACAAGAAAAATCTTAATAAAAGACTATGCATCAGCTATATTTTATTTGTAATTAAATACTTGGAAAAAACGTTATTTGCCTGTTAAGTCATTTGAATAAATGACAGTAGGATATCCAAGCAACACATGTATAGTGACAAAGTGGAGTAAAACAAGCAGGGAGGACTGAAGAAATGTTTTCAGGATGCACTAAAATAAGTCTTCAAGCAAGGAAGTATAGATGTGAACTGGGAGATTCAAAAGCAGCAGCCAGAGCAATATAACAAGGGATGAAGAAATGGACACATTTTCTAAAGCAAAGTTTCACATCAAGTTTCAATTTAAGAGGCAGCTTCCTAATTGATATTTTCTCCTAATGTCAAATGTAGCTAATAACTGAAATCTGATTGCATGGGCCTAGTCCAGTATAAAAGAAAATTATAACTGATCTTTTGACATATTATTAAAGATTTATGAAATAGACATACCAAGAATCTCTATGTCACTGAAGATAGTACCTTTACAGAACAGAGTTCCTTTAAAGTTAATTTAGGGAGTAAATTTTAAGTACAAATATTAGAGTGACAGCTTAAGAAATCATTTAAATTTCCTCCAGTTTTAATCATCTTTGCTTCAAAATATAAGTAACTATACCAATATCCTTAAAAAATCTATTATTTAAAAATAGAAAAGTTTTATAATACTTAAATAATTTTCACATAAATATGAGAAAGTACAATAATGTATACATTTAAAAAACAATCTATAAACCTGAACTGATAGCTAGTTGCTACTGTCTCACCTCCTTATTAAAGCATGCCAGTATTACCAAGGTAATATATATGTATGTATTTATGAATGTAGATTTAGTGGGTGCTAAATCAACATGTATCTACTGTTAACACACACTCCAGCTCAGGGCTTTAAGTCAACAAATATAAGAGCACTCATTATGTTCAAGAAAATGCAGGGGAACAAAGATGAGTAAAGACAAAAAAGAAAGGAAAACAAGCTTACACTTAATGCTAGGCACCATCAACTATCTTCATTTAATATTCACAACAACGCTAAAAGGTATTACCATTCTCATGTCTATAAATGGGAAAACTGAGATTCAGACAATGTTGAAAACCTGCACAAAATTACAAAACAACTAAATAAAGGGTAGAGATTCAATTCAAATGCAGGTCTGCATGATTCCAAAACCTCACACTATATGATTCCATACTGTTCTTAAGGGGCTTATAACATAAGTGGAGATATTACACACGTATATAACTAACAGAAAGCAGTGTATAAAGTGTCAAAATAGTTTGTTCCTCTAAATCAGGGGTCCTCAAACTTTTTAAACAGGGGGCCAGTTCACTGTCCCTCAGACCGTTGGAGGGCCCGACTATAGTTTAAAAAAAAACTATGAACAAATTCCTATGCACACTGCACATATCTTATTTTGAAGTAAAAAAACAAAACGAGAACAAATACAATATTTGTATTTGCATGTGGCCCACGGGCCGTAGTTTGAGGACCCCTGATCTAAATGCTATGGGCCCCCAATGAAAGTATCTTAACTTTATACAGAGCCCACTGGGAGAGGATTTTGAGAAAAAGGATAGAATTTAAAATGTTCCTGAGAAAACAACTAACATTTTAACAGACAGAAATTAGCAATTAAAATATTCTAGGATTAGGAATGGAACGATTAAAGGCACCGCATAAATAGTATTTTCAAGACAGAATGTATTTTGTCAAAGTGTATGTATGGGAGGTGAAGGTTAATCATTTGTATGCCATAAGCGTCTATAGACACAAGCATCAGACCTTTTTTAATTAAATTCAAAATATCATGGCAGTTAACTGGTTAAAGTAGAAAAGTGGAAGACTACAGTGGGAAATAAAACTAGATACTTAAGGTAAGACAGATCATAGAAGCTTTGAACTTTACTCTGTAGGCACCAAGGAATCACTTTAAGTGTTTGAACAAGGAAATTACATTATCAAACCTGTACTTTAGAAAAACAGTGGTATCAATAGATTGAATTAGGAAGAGAATAGAGATTTATAGGCATGTAGGGCAATTAGGAGGCTACAATAGTCAACCAAGTCAGTGAGGGCAGGGACTACCATCTGCCATTTTCATTGTGTAGCACCAATCAGCACATACAACACTGTACCCAGCAGGCATCCAAGAAAATAACAAGGCTATGATAACATTCCTACAAAAAAAATAGGGCTGAAGTAGGACACCAGCAGTAAACAAAGATATAAAACAGAGCCAAAATATTTGAAGGATAGAATAGTAAAGTTTAGAAGTGTATGGAGGTTGAGGAGGAAGGCATTAAAGGCTGAAATTTTACTAAGTTTGTTCCTCTAAATGCTATGGGCCCCCAATGAAAGTATCATAACTTTATACAGAGCCCACTGGGAGAGGATTTTGAGAAAAAGGATAGAATTTAAAATGTTCCTGAGAAAACAACTAACATTTTGATATTTTGATATTTCATCCACAAAGAAAAGTAAATACCTTTTTTAAGTGTGGAACCTCATATTACAATCTATATAGTTGGTTTCAAAGGTCTGCTTCATTCTAAATTGAATTTGTAAAGTATTTATATAGACAAGCCCATTATAGGATGAACAAAAATTACAATAGTTTGCAAAGGGTCTTGAAAATCATTTGGTTTTAGAAAAACTTACTAAATGTATACATCAGGACTACTTGGAATGTGTTTTACTCAAACTTACTTTCTCCATCACCATCTTTATCAAATTCTTCTATCATAGCCCGAAGTTCTTCATCACTCATGTTTTCACCCAATTCTCTGGCAACACGTCGCAAATTCCTCAAGCTTATTTTACCTGAATCATCATCATCAAATAGTTTAAATGCCTTCAATATTTCTTCATGTGGATCTCTTTCCAATATCCAGTCTGTCACTAAAGTTAAAAAAAAAGAAGATAAAAAATAAACCTTCATCATCACAAAGGTATTCATTTGTGATATCAACTAAGTACCAAATGAGAAATAAATCTGTCAACATTTAGCTTGAAAATAAATGCCATATCAGTATATATTTATGTATGTATATATAGTGGATACTGTATCAACCAAAAAGCCAATGAGATAAACCTGAAATTAGAAAAATCAAATCCATATTTTTAATGTAAGCTTTATAATATCAATAATTCATCCTATTATAAAAGTAAGCAAAATTATTTACATTGCACAGACGCAAAATAAAAGAATTATATTTATACCATATTTATCTAAGGTTTACTATTATCAAGAACTGTTGTATGCTCCACTGACATCGAGCACATTAGTCTAGCAGTTAGTAACCTAGCTGGAGAGATGTTATACCAACAAACAATTGAAACTAACTAAATAGCCTGGCTGGTGTGGCTCAATGATTGAGCTTAGATCCATGAACCAGGAAGTCACAGTTCGATTCCCAGTCAGGGCACATGCCCGGGTTGTGGACTCAATCCCCAGTAGGGGGCATGCAGGAGGCAGCTGATGGATGATTCTCATCATTGATGTTTCTCTCTCTCCCTCTCCCTTCCTCTCTCTGAAATCAATAAAAACATATTTTAAATAATCTAACTAGATAAAAGATGTTTGCTGGCAAACTTAATAACACGAATTGCACCTCAAATTTAACCCAAATTAAAAACAAAAAACTGACAAATAAAATGCACTGCCATCACTAATATAGACACAATCTCAGACAGTAGATGAAAATCTCACTGATACCTTCATGATTACAAGAATCTCTTCATTTTCCAAAATATGAGAAGTAGTTATTAAAAGAATTAAATCTGATTGCAATAACACAACCAGGAGAAAAAATAAAAGGTCTGGAAAAGATATCTCATGCATTTTGTTTAGCAAAATAATAACTTCAGACAAGTAAGTAAAATTAAGGGAATAATTTCAAACCTTGATAGCTGAGAGTATCAATGTATTTTAATATACTAAATGTAATAATGTATAATAATATAGTTTACTCAACATTTTCAATATTACCAGTCTTAATAGCCACAATAAAAAAAAAAGCTGTAGCATATACGTATAAATCTGAAAATATCTAAGTAAACATCTCTAAAGTAATTCTGCAAGCTAGTCTAGCACTACAACAAAAGGTATTTATGACTCTCACTGTGCCATTAAAATAAATCAATCCTGCCCAGCTGGTGTGGCTCAGCAGTTGAGTGTTGACCCAGGAACCAAGAGCCAAGAGATCGCCGGTTGTGGGCTCAATCCCCTGTGGGGTGTGTGCAGGAGACAGCCAATCAATGATGTTCCTCTCTCTCATCGATGTTTCTATCTCTCTATCCCTCTCCCTTCCTCTCTCTAAAAATCATTAAAAACATTTAAAAATAAATAAATAAAACTTACTGCAGTTTATGAAAGCATTAAAAACTTGCAAATGCTTATAGAGAGAAAGTATAGGAATGTTTAATGTACCCACAAGGAAAAATACAATTTAAGTCCCAAATATTTTATTATTGTTTTGCAGCTATTTCATCGTATTAACATTCAAGATGTTAAATCTTCTACACATATATTCAAGTTTTCTTTTTCTCCTACCCATTAATTTTATCCACAGTCTTCCAAGTAACTAATTGAAGTATATTATTATAAGTATGCAAATCATCAAAGCTCATAAATATTCAGTCAAAAAGGAGTTGGCATATATACAGCCATAACACCAAAATAAAATACCACACTTAACTCTATGGCTCATACTCAACTTATTTTGAATTTAGTCCCAACAAAAAAGCAGGACAAGGGAAAAAAAAGTGTTAAGAAATTTTCTTCACCAATTAAATAATTTTGCATGACAGGTGAACCAAAAAAGCAGCTTGCCGAAAGTATTAATGTACTTAAAGAAGCAACAGGGTGATCTGGGGAACAGATGGGGCTCCAAGATATATAAATTCTTATCCCACTGGTGCTTTAATTGTGTTAGTTACTTCAGACTTATGTGTATATATAATCTTTTATCAATACACTGCCTTAGAACGCAACTTTTCTTGGAAACTATAAATATCCATCATCCTGAATAGCTAAAACATTAAACTTTATGGTGACTCTCCTCCATGCCTTCATGTTCTATTCCTGTCCTACAAAGTAGAATTTAATTATAAGAAAGACATTGTCTTTCAATGAAAATAAGTCAACTGACATGCAGGCAGTTAATGAAAGCATTAAAAACTTGCAAATTAGAACAAAGAGAAAAAAGGCAGTTAATGAAAGGTCTGTCCAAATAACTCTTGTTTCAAATTATTTAATTATACTATTAGAAATGTACTTCCTCAAAATATTTAGACCTTACACTTTATAAAAATCACTTGTGAATACAGCAAATTAAAAGACACTAAAAGTTTATCAAAAATCATTAAAGGTAATACTAGAAATATAGCTTCAACTATATATCTCACTGACTTTTGGAAGGCTCTATCCAAAAATACCAGTTACTATTAACTCAACTTTTTGGAGTCCAAACTCCTCCCACTATCACCAAGGTAGCTGTCAATGCCCCACTCCAAAAAGGATGAGAGAATTATTAATAGTTTCCCATATTTGAAAAGACTGAACATTTTCAATCCCATAAACCCAATCAGTGATCAGAACCTATAGTTCTGAGGATGCTACCTTTTTTACTCTTAAATGTATCCCTTTTCATTCTCACCACCTTCAACATAAAACATATATTATTTTCTGCCTGCAATCTCTCTTCCCTCCAATCCATCTTTAATACTCTAGACAGAGTTATCTTTCTAAAACATATCTACTCTTCTTTAAAAATTGACAATGGGCCCTAACCGGTTTGGCTCAGTGGATAGAGCGTCGGCCTGCGGACTGAAAAGTCCCAGGTTCGATTCAGGTCAAGGGCATGTACCTTGGTTGCAGGCACATCCCCAGTAGGAGGTGTGCAGGAGGCTGCTGATCGATGTTTCTAACTCTCTATCCCTCTCCCTTCCTCTCTGTAAAAAATCAATAAAATATATATTTTTTTTAAAGAAGTTAATGTTTAAAAAAAAAAAATCACATACTAAACGGTCTTGGGAAATATTTTCCAAACAAAATGATACCAAATTTTCTATTTTACTGTGAGAAAATGTTTGATCACCCTTTTAGTTTTGATCACATTACTTGGAACGATATTTTTCCATAAAATAACTACATAAAATCTTGATTAGAATCTTTACAACAAAAGACAAAATGATAAATCCCACAGCAAAGCTATAAATCTTTTTTCTTTGAAAATCAACATAAAGAGTACCCCAAAAAACCCTGTAAGATTCACATATACAGCAATGTTTATTAACAAAATTCTATAACCCTGAGAATTAAAAAAATACTGATATTAACCAGATAATTTCCTAACAACTACTAAATATAAAGACTATGAAAATACACACCAACTTCATTAAAATCTTCAAAGGTGATTTTCCCTGTGGCTTCTCTGTCATAATCTTTAAGAATCTTCAGTACATCAGCTTTTTTTACATCAAACCCCAAGGCTCTCATTGCCACCTTTTGGAATAAGAGGGAAAAGCAAATTATAAAGCATTCTTTAAAAAAAAGAAGTGATTTCTTAAATAAATTTTTGCAACTTAAGGGATGATGACACATTAATAAAACAAATAATTCCTTTGCATGTTTTATGACCCTAAAATAGTAAAGAGATAGTTTTTCTTCACTATGAAATTAAATGGCAATTTGTTAACTTTATATATCATTTTTTATATGACAAACCAATCAATGAGTGTTTATGGAATATACTATACAATGTACTGACATAGTGCACAGATATAACAAGTTCTATGTTCTCAAAGGATTAACAACTAAAAAACAAAAAGGGGCATAGCATAAATATTAAAAAGATATATACTAAAAAAAAAAAAAGTTATACACTATGAAATTAAAACACACTAAAATAAGAATTATCATCAGACCCTACATCATTAGTTACCAGATAGTGCATGACCCCAAATTTAGAGAAAGATCATCTTATTACTATACTAGAGGCCCAGTGCACAAATTCATGCACCGGTGGGGTCTGGCCGGCCAAGCCCCAATCAGCGGATCAGGGCTGGGCCTATCAGGAGGAGACAGCAGGAGGTTGGTCGGCCAGCCGGCCCTGATCGGGGCACAATCAGGACCGGCCGGCTGTGGGGAGGGGAGCGGGCGATTCCCTGTGGGCCCCGCCCCCAATTGGGATGGGGCAGGGCCAGCTGTGGGGAAGGGCTGTGGGCCAACCGGCCCCACCCCCAAATGGGGTCAGAGGGCCGATCAGGGGTCAGCGGCCAGGGAAGGGGCCATGGGAGGTTGACTGGCTGCCACCCTCAATGGGGTGGGAGAGGCCGATCAGGGGTGGGGTGGGCCAGGGGAGAGGCTGCAGACCGATTGGGGTGGTGGTGGTCCATTGGAGGCGGGGCCAGCTGGGGGAAGGGATAGCAGAAGGTTGGCCA